CTCTTAATGTACCTCATAATACAGTTTTTGAAAATGTGGACTATAATGGTGCATCCAACCCTTACCTATACTTAATATACTCATATCATCTTCTAAAATAATAAATGTACCTATGCATATATTTAGATATAAGTCATACTTTTCTAGCTGTAACCTAAATAATAAAAACCTTTAGGTAAATTTGACTTCACATTTATTATTGTAAAGCCAAATTCAATTCATATTCCTTTAATTATATAGTAACAGTTTGTCCTAAAAATGTAATATATCCACTTTAACATTTTGTGTTCATACTACTTCATTTTCCAAGTTATGGTAGAATAAAATCTAAACTAAAGGGAATCATGAATTTCATAGACTTGTTTTTATAACAGTGTAATTAAATATACCTTTCTCTTTAAAAGTAATCTACCTTTTTAACTGAGACTGGAGATAAGATGTTAAGCGGGTAGCCTCTTCTAGCTGCATAAGTAGACAATTTTTTTTTTCCTGAAGTAGAATCCTGTAGGTAAGAAAACAGTCAATCAGTGGATTTCAAAGGTAGTGAGTAAATTCTTCCATAACAAGAAATTCAACTATAAATTCCCCCAAATTGATTCAGGTTTGAGTGATTATTAACTCTAAAAGAATGTATAGGTCATAAACTGAGATTGTTTATGTCGTGTTTGAGACTATATCCCTATAATCCTGAACAGTGATGTCTGATCTACTGTATAAGTTGTTTGGGTGGGTAAATGGCTGGATAGAGGGATAAGTAGGTAGGCAGACAGATGAATGGTAAGTGGATGAAGATAGAGTGGGTAGACAGAGGTGGACAGAGACATGAATGAGAACCTAGAAGAGGAGCTCAAATGGAGAACATGTATAAATCTACTAAATCCACTAAAAGTCAGAGCAAATCTGATTTTCTCATCTTGGCTCTTGTCCAGACAAAAATAAATGCAATTCTAATACCAAAAATCAATAGAATTTTAAAAACCACAATCAAATAAAACAAAATAGCAACTATGCCTGTCTCCTACGGCATAAATTTAAGAGGTAATTTTTTCTTCTTTTTCCTTTTTTCACATTGTAATTCTGTAGAATGATACCCCTCCATACACACCCTCTAGAAAATGCACTGCTTGGGGTCCAACACATATGGGCACTCAACAAATAATTGCTGAATAGCAAAGAATTAATAAATACTCTTGCCTTTACATAAAACATTCATGATTCAAAACGATGGTATTTTGAATATGGCCAGTGATAAGAATCCTTAAAACAGTAGCTTTCTCCATCCCCAACAAGAGGAAACCAGAAGGAGAACTGTGGCAGGAGACAGAGTTTCAAAAAGTTTTGGCTATAACAGATATGCAAACTAATACACTACCAATTTAGAAAATGGAAGACTGAGACCACTGAAAACTCTTTTAAAAGCATAAACAATAAACACAAATTCTATCATGTCCTTGATTCTCTTGGATGCAAACAGAATTTCAAAATGTTTCTGTGTAGAACTCCTCTGTTACAAAAATGAGTCATGAAGGGACCACAGTATTTTCTAACTGGTAAAACACCTTTTAAACAGGAGCCAGTATATGACCGATTTTAAATTTGAATAGCATATATTAAAACAGTGGTTTTCAAATTGTGATCCAAGGACAATCTTGGATCCTGAAAATTACTTCAGGCACATAGCAAGGCTCATCTTCTCAACAACATGTCTGTATAAGGCCAGATTTTCTTCATATGTTAATCAAAATGATACATTATAACATTTGCTCAGCAGCTGTCTTCTGGTAAGTCATACACTAAATACAAACTGTAGAACAACACCACTCTTCTTAATATGCTTTTTAGAAAACAACTATTATTCATAGTTTTTCTAAGTTCCTTATGTTTAACATATAAGGAGGATTTTTTTAATCCTTTTTTTATTAAATTTTTAAAAAATTTCTCAGCTCTAATTTCTGATATAGTAAATATTATCAGAAAAGATCCACATAAAAGCCATTAAGGATCAGGGCGCCTGGGTGGCTCAGTGGGTTAAGCCTCTGCCTTCAGCTCAGGTCATGATCTCAGGGTCCTGGGATCAAGCCTGGCATTGGGCTCTCTGCTCAGGAGGGAGCCTGCTTCATCTCTCTCTCTGCCTGCCTCTCTGCCTACTTGTGATCTCTGTCTGTCAAATAAATAAAAAATATTTTTTAAAAAAGCTCTTAAGGATCATTAGTAATTTTAATAATGTAAAAGTATTCTAGAAAAGAAGCTTCAAAAATGCTATAACAGTAAATTTTACCAAATAAAAGCTTTTAGAGAATCCATTTACCCATAATATTTCCATTTACCTGTAATATTTTAAAATTTAGGGGAAAATTTTTAGTAACTTATTGTTTCCACAAAATAAAAAATAGCTTTTAAAAGCCAGTTCTGAAGTTATAGTGAGTTTTTATGTCATACCATAAGAGATACATTATGTTACAAAAGTACACAATTACAATTACCTGGTTCAAGATAGTCACTTAGGAAGATCCTGTATATACTACCTGTTGTACAAATATCAAGTCTACACCTATATATGGAGAAATATACTCTGAAAAAAAAAAACCTTAAAACTAGGGGGCAAGCTGTTCATATTGGGCAAACAAAAGGGAAACATCAAACTAGGTAGGAGAGGCTGAGACACAATCTGATAATAAACCCTACCTCCCTGAGCACACAGACCCACAACAGGGAAGGAACTCAATTCCCAGAGCATCTTCTCAAGGATTGTACTTCACATCAGGGACCTAAATTGTAAGATATGTATGTGAGAGATGAGCCCCCAAAACATCTCTGTGGAAACCAGTGGGGTTTTTGAGTCCTGTGGGGACTGAGGAATGGCACTTAAAAAGAGTTCACACACAAACGCACCTTCCCCCTCGCCCCACAGAAGCAGCATTTTGAAAAGTGTCCAGACTCATTTGTTAATTTTAAAGAGTTGGTATGAGGGTCAGGGACCTGCGGGATTACTATGGAGAGAAGAGACTATGCCCTCTGTCTTCCCGCCTGCCTCTGTTATCTCTGCCTTCCTGTGTTACCATGTTCCCTCTGCCTTGCTTAAAGTAGGAATGAAATGGAGAGAAAGGACAGCTTTTTTTTCACATTATTTTTATATTTCTTTTTTTTTCTTTTAAGTTTTTCCCCTCTTCCTTTACTCGTTTTTCAGTAGTTTCCATCTTTGTACTTTTTGCTACCAGGCTACATAGCAGTAAGTATCTCCCAGGAGGTAGCTTTTACACAAGTCTGGTGACCCAGCTTTTATGGTTGCCTCCCAGGGGACAACCCTTTGCTGTCTGGCTCTTCAGGCTGAGGAAATTGATCTGGTGGATCCCACAGGGCTGTAACAAGCAGAGACAATTCTTCACTGACTACCATCCCCAGGGCAGACTAAAACATATCTTCAGTCTTTCTGAGAAACTTTATCATCACAGCTGCAATCTGAGGGTCAGTCTTCTAATAGACATGCCTATATAGGCAGAATGTAAACACTTCTAGAGACCTTGAAAGATATGTCTTGTTTTTGAGATCTCCCTCTCCCACTCCAGAGCACCAGTCTCTCTCAGAGAGGAGTTCTTACATGTGTCTGTTGCCTACAGAACATCTCTTGAATGCCTTGTTCAGTGGCCAGAGAGTCTTGTGTTCCTGGGTCCCATAGGGCTGTAACAATCAGAGAGACAGTCCTTGGCTAGGACTGAAACACAGCAGCAAGTCTTGCAAAAAATGTCCATTTGCTTGTCCTGAAACATTGGCTCAAGGAGCAGGCTTCAGGTTTCTAGGGGTCTATGTAGTTTCTTTCTTAGAGGCCAGAGTATGCCATCATTGTTCTCTTCCACTGCCTCACTGTAGCTCACAGTATCTCTCAGAAAGGAGCCTGTTCGCTCATCTGGAGTCTTGATTTTTATGACTTTCACCCAGGAGCACCTCCAGATCTCCTGTTCGGGCAGGCAGCCTGCTTTATGCTTCTGGTCCTACAGAACTCCATATATTTGCATATTTTAAGATGTGTTATTGGGGCCTGGCTTCCAGTCAGCACAAACCTTAGTGATCTCTGAGATCTGTGTACTTTGGGACACTGGCAGGTCTTGGTACACTGAACAACTATGACTTTATGAAGGGACAAGTAGGCCATTGGACAATCAGGAAGGTCTGACAGATAGCCAAGTTGTAGGACACTGCTGAATTCTGCTGTTCATGCTACACAAAACATTCCTTCAAGACTGGGAGGGGTGGCCACTTCATCTGCTGCATAGACACTATGACAGAGAGTCAAGGAAAATGAAACAGAGGAATATGTTCCAAAGGAAAGAGCAAGATAAGAAACCATAATGAAACAAAATAAGCAGTTTATCTGATAAAGAGTTCAAAGTGATGATTGTCAGGAAGATGCTCACTGAACCTGGAAAATGAATGGTTGAAAACAGTGAGAACCTCAACAAAGAGATAGGAAACATAAGAAAGAGCCAAAGAGAAAAGGAATACAATAACTAAACTGAAAACACTACAGGGGTTTAACAGCAGACTAGATGAGATAGAAGAGTCAGTGAACTCTGCAGCAAGAACAGTGATCTCACACAATCAGAGCAGCAAAAAGAAAAATAAGAAAAAAAATTTTTTAAAAAGGTGAAGACAGCTGAGGGGACTTAGGGGACAACATGAAGGGGATTAACATTTGCGTTATAAGGCTCTGAGCTGGAGAACAAAGAAGGAGGAAGAAAATTTATTTAGAAAAGTATAGGTGAAAACTTCCTAAGCTGGAGAAGGAAACAGACCTTGAGATCCAGGAAGCACAGTTCCAAAGAAGATGCACCCAAAGACATCCACACCAAGACATGTTGTACTTAAAATGTTAAAAGCTAAAGACTGGGATTATTAAAAGCAGCAAGAAAAAACAAACAAAAAAACCAAAAACCTTATATACATAGGTACCCTATCAGACCATCAGCAGATTTTTTAGAAGAAACTTTGCAAGCCAGAAGGGAGTATATATATATAACGATATATTATTCAAAGTTCTGAAAGGAAAACAAACAAAAAGAAAACTTCTAACTAATCAAGAACACCTACCTGGCTAAAGATGTTATTCAGAATTGAAGGAAACATAAAGAATCCTCCAGATTGGCAAAAGCTTAAAGGAGTTTATCATGACTAACCTAGCTTTATGTGAAATGTTAAAGGGACTTCTTCAAGCTGAAAATAAAGGGCACTATACGCACATCTAAGGGTACTATAAACATACCATTGTACTGCAATAAAAGCATAGGCTAGGGTGTGTGGGTGGCTCAGCGGTTTAAAGCCTCTGCCTTCGGGGTGTCTGGGTGGCTCAGTGGGTTAAAGCCTCTGCTTTTGGCTCAAGTCATGATCCCAGGGTCCTGAGATTGAGCCCCGCATCGGGCTCTCTGCTTAGCGGGGAGCCTGCTTCCCACTCTACCTGCCTCTCTGCCTACTTGTGATCTCTGTCTGTCAAATAAACAAATAAAATCTTAAAGAAAAAAAAAAAAGCCTCTGCCTTCAGCTCAGGTCATTAACTCAGGATCCTGGGATGGAGTCCCACATCAGGCTCTCTGCTCAGCGGGGAGCCTGCTTCTGCCTGTCTCTCTGCCTACTTGTGATCTCTCTCTCTCTCTGTCAAATAAATAAATAGAATCTTTAGTTAAATTAAAAAAAAAAAAAAAAAACACATAGGCTAGTATAAATTGCCCAGGTAAAGATTAAAGGCTATAACAGCAGTGGGTTAATCATATAAAGCTAATATAGAGTTTAAAAGACAAAAGTAGTAAAAAAAAAAAAAAAAAACTATACAATATAATTACTGAGAAGATAGATGTGATCAAAAGATGAAAAATGTGACCCAAAAATAAATGCAGAAAGAATTAAAATGTAGAGCCTTAAAATATATTCAGTATTACATTGTGATCAATTTAAAATAGGTTATTATAAGTTGTTATATGTAAACTTTATGGTAACTACAATGTAAATACCTACAATAGGTAGATAAAAGATAATGAATCTAAGAATACTACTAATGCCTTTTGCTAGAAAATGCAGGGACTTTGAGGTCATTAGGCTAAGTGAAATAAGTCAGGGAAAGAGAAACACAGTATTCGTATTCGTAGAATCTAAAAACAAATGAGCGAACAAAAAGACCAAGTTCACAGATAGAAAAAGTAGACTGGTATGGTTGGCAACAGGATGGGCAAAATGGATGAAAGGGGCCAAAACTGTACAAAGCTACAGTTATAAAATAAATAAGTCATGGTTATGTAATACTGCAGATGCTATTATAGTTAACAGAACTGAACTGCATATTTCAAACTTGCTAACAGAGTAGATCTTAAAACTTCTCAGCAGAAGAGCAAATGCTTTTGTAACCATGTGAGTAGCATGTTAACTAGACTTAATGCTGGTGATCATTTTACAATATGTATAAATATGGAATCATTATGTTGTACACCTGAAACTAATATAATGTCATGTCAATATACCTCAACTATAAAATATTTAAAATTTTGGGGGCACCTGGGTGGCTCAGTGGGATGAAGCCTCTGCCTTCGGCTAAGGTCATGATCCCAGAGTCCTGGGATCGAGCTCCACACCGGGCTCTCTGATCAGTGGGGAGCCTGCTTACCCTCCTCTCTCTGCCAGCCTCTCTGCCTACTTGTAATCTCTGTCAAATAAATAAATAAAATCTTTAAAAAAAAATATTTAAAATTTTTGAGAAACACATTACCATTGAGAATTTACAGTAATGTCTATCACTCTGTATTTTATTACTCTTCCATTGACCTTAATTCCCATTTTACTGATAAGCAAATTGATACTCAGCAAGTAAAATTAACTTGCTATGAACGTTACATCTGTCAAGTTAGCTTGAACTCAAAGCCATGCATATTACCAGTCACTGCATTACTTACCTCCTCTGGTAAAATTCTGTTGCTTATATGTGGGCTTCCTTTAATAATGAGACATTTTCCAGATTTTATTCTGTACTTATGTTCCTACTTTAGGCTTTCAAGAAAAATATCCTCAAAAATCCTATCTTTAAAGTAGAATAAAGGGGGCAGTTGGAAAGAAGTAGGACTCCAAACTATTCCTCTCACTAGACTTTTGAACCAATATTTTTTTAAAGATTTATTTATTTGTTGGAGGTGGAGGAGGTGGTGGAAGAACAGAGTAAGAGGGAGAGGGACAACCAGGTTTCCTGCTAAGTGTGGACCCCACACAGGCTTGATTCCAGGACCCTAAGCTCAAGACTTCAGTCTAAACCAAGGTCAGACACTTAACCAACTGAACCACCCAGGCACCCCTGAAAAGTCTGAAACATCTCTCTGTATTATAGCTTCACTACCGGTGAGACATTTTAATTCACAAAAATACAGCCATAAAGTAAACAATAACCAGCACCAAAATGTTATTTGTTATAGAGAATTTACTTAATCCCGGTATAACTACTTTTTTTATTAACGCTTTTGTATATAAACCTATCCAACCTATTCTATTGTCTGAAGTTGCAAGTTAACAGATTCTAAACTGAGTTCTAATTAAATGGGCTCTAGTCTTGAGTCCAGGGTAGGATTTTCAATCCCTATTAGGAAATTCATGCATTTACTCCATCTCTCTCCACTTACATATACATTTACATGTTTATGTATGTTTGGTATTTCTGTATACATTCACATCTGTATTTGCAGCAGAATTGTAGATTGTCTTTGTGCTCAGATTTTCAAATTATTTTACCACTACTGAAACAAGTTTTAGAAGACATTACCCATTGTATGTACATGTCACACATATCACTCTACTGAGCAGGTGCACTTCAGAAAGAGAGAGACATCTAAATCATGAGAGACTGTGCACTCTGAGAAACAAACTGAGGGTTTCAGAGGGGAGGAGAGTTGGGGGCTGAGTGAGCCTGGTGGTGGGTATTAAGGAGGGCACATACTGCTTGGAGCACTGGGTGTGGTGCATAAACAATGAATCTTGGAACCCGGAAAAAAAATAAAATAAAATAAAATTTTTAAAAAAAAATATGCTAGTTAATCTAAAAATTATAGGGTTAAAATAATAAATTCATTAAAAAATATAGTTGGGAAGTATCACATTGAGTCTGTCCAACCACTAAAAGAGATAAAAAAGAGATAAAAAAAAAAGATAAAAAGATTAAAAAAGAGATAAAAAAGAGAAAAAAAAGCATTAAAAGAGATAAAAACTATTGAAATGTAAGCCATTACATTTAATAAATTTTATAAATGTACTTGTACATTTGCAAGTACATATTTATACATACACATATGTGGATATATGGATATATACATATACATACATACATACATGCATATATACATATACACACACACATATATGTGTCTATATATAAGTATGTGTATATATGTGTGTGTGTATATATATACATATATACAAGTACATATATAGATAGACTATAACTAGTTCACTGTTCTATTAAAAATAGAAATCTTAAATATTTACTGCACTTCTTTACAGATTTTCTTCAGCAAAAAGTGAAAAGACATAAAATTTAATGGCAGAAAAGTGCCCAGCCAGGTCTGAAGCACATATGTAGACAAATTCATGTCCCTATTTGAAAGAGGGAACACTTCAAAAAATATTAAGAACCACTGGTATGAAAAGGAATATATTAAAGCGTAACAGATTAAGAACACAAAGTCTAATATGCTGTTTTTATTTACCTTAAATAGTATAATTAAAAAGATGTCTTTAAATTGCAACTGAAAGCAAAAAGTACTTCAAAGTTTAAGAAATTTCTTTTTGACAGGTCTTGGCATTTTCATAATCAGCCTTATGATAGCTGACTTTGGGGAATATTGTGTAGGATAAACTCTCAGAGTAGAGCTCTGGGGTTCTGTTTTGAATATCAGCATCTCATATAAATGCCAGCAACAACCTAACATGAGTATCATACCAAAAACCACAATAACAACAACAACAACAACAACAAAACAACAACACCCAAAAACCAAAAATAGATGTTATCAAGTCTTAACAGATCTTGAAAGACCACCCAGGGTATTAGTTCTTTACCTGGTGGACATTCTCACATTCCTGGGAGATGTGAACTCTTTCCAGTATCACTAGTTCCCAGCAACAAAAAGCTTGTGGACTGTCATCTGCCAGTGGCAAAGTGCAGGACAAGGATTTATATGCCTGAGTCCAACTTTGCACCTGACAATGAGGACACTGAAGTGGAGATATGCAAAAACTGAGACTACCAAGCAACTGGCAAGATCTCATCCCTAAGACGCCTATTTTAGTCACTTTCTTGTGGCTACCATGCAGATCTCTCTAATACCCCTCAGTCTATCCCCAGGGAATACCTCCTACCTTAGGGCCCCATCTTCTATATTCAAGCACGCATCAAAAGAATGGAGGTGCACATAGAAACAAGTCTGCCTCCACCAGATAACATCGTTAACTGTAGGAGCTCTCTATATCAAGAAGGAGAAGGGATTCCCAACTTCCCTCATTCAATCCTCTCCTGCTTCTGAAAAAGTGGGACCGTCAGAGCCCCGCGTAGGGCTGGCACCTCAGAAGGGAAGGCATATGTTCCCTTCATAATTGGCCTTCTCTCTACATGGCAAGGAAATATGCCAGGTAATGGACACTCTGAGTAAAAATAATATTCAAGACCAAGCTCAAATTTTATTTAAGTTCTGAGTTAGCTTTTCTGATTGGTTCTTTCCCGGAAGTTCAGTCCCGCCCACTCGCAAAACCGCGCAAGGCCGCCCACCTTTCCGTGGCGCCCTGCACCGACGTGGCCCCGCTGCGCTGGGTCTCCTCCTCCAGGCACCTCCTCTCCGCCTCCAGCCGGGCCACTTCTTCCGCCGGCCCTCTCTGCTGGATGATGAGCTGAAGCTCCTGGAGTAGGGCTTCCTTCTCTTTGATGAGCTGCAACCGGTCCCTGTCGGCCTCTGCCAGGCCGGGCCACGACTCATTCTCAAGCTGGGCCAGCTGCTGCTGGATCATCGAGACTCTGCAAGAGATAGACATGAAAATTCAAGCAAACAAGCATATTCAGAATACACAGTAAAAATCTTCAAGTATTAGGAATGTAAATTCAGTATAGTATAAAAAGAACTACACAAAAACCACCGATTTTATCCCAAGTATGCAAGGCAGGTTTAATATGAGAAAATCAACTCATGGAATCAATCATATCACCAAACTGAAAATAAGTATCGTATGATTATATCCAAAGACACAAAAAAGCTCTGACAAAATTCAATCCACCTTTAATTCTCATAAAACTGTCATTAAACTAGGGATAGAGGGAAACTTCCTCTATTTGATAAAGAATATGTACAAAAAAGGTTGAAAAAAGAGCTACTACAACCCAGCGATCTCACTACTGGGTACCCTAAAGATACAAATGTAGTGATCCGAAGGGGCACGTGCACCCGAATGTTTCTAGCAGCAATGTCCACAATAGCCAAACTATGGAAAGAGCCTAGATGCCCATCAACAGATGAATGTTTAAAGATGTGGAGTATATATACAGTGGAATACTATGCAGCCATCAAAAAGAAATGAAATCTTGCCATTTGCAATGATGTGGATGGAATAGAGGGTATTATGCTGAGTGAAATAACTCAATCACACAAAGTTATCATATGATCTCTCTGATACAAGGATTTAAGAAACAAAGCAGAGGATCATAGCGGAAGAGAGGAAAACAAAAAAGAAGATGAAACCAGAGACAGAGGCAAACCATAAGAGACTGTTAATCATAGAAAACAAGCTGAGGGTTGCTGGAGGGGAAATGGGATGAGGTGATTTGATAAGTGAGTGATGGGCATTATGGAGGGCATGTGATATAATGAGCACTGGATGTAAGAAAAGACTGATGAATCACTAAGCTCTACCTCTGAAACCATTAATACATTATATGTTAAATAATTGAATTTAAATTTTAAAACATGGAAAACAATAAACAGTTTAAAATTAATAAATGTTTAAGAATGTAAAGTAGGTAAATTCCCTAAAAAAAGGAATAAGACAGTAAAAGTAATGTGATAATATTAAGAATATTATTCTTATTATATCTTATTCTTTTTTTTTAAGATTTTATTTATTTATTTGTCAGAGAGAGAGAGGGAGAGAGAGCAAGCACAGGCAGACAGAGAGGCAGGCAGAGGCAGAGGGAGAAGCAGGTTACCTGACGAGCAAGGAGCCCGATGTGGGACTCGATCCCAGGACGCTGGGATCATGACCTGAGCCGAAGGCAGCTGCTTAACCAACTGAGCCACCCAGGCGTCTCTTATTATATCTTATTCTTAAGCAAATTTCTCCGTATCCTTCTGGTGGATTCAGAACTGCCTTTCCATCCCTACCTTCTCCTCTTCTTCCAAGAATCTCTCCTGAAGGATTGTTCAGTCCTTCAGACCAGTTAATATTAAACTAGTTTTTCTTTTATATATGTGGCTCAACAGTTTAATGGAAAAACCCACATAAATATTTTTGTTTAAAAGACATTTTAAATACTAGGTCAGAAGAGATGGCAGGAGATCTTGTTTCATTTTGTTAGAAAGAATTAAATGTACACAAGAGAATGTGAAAAGTCTCTATTCTTATTGAATGAAATCTTCACCAATATTTTGAATTTCACATTTTAAATGCATTTAAATGCATTTTGTCATATGTATTAAGTAGCTAAACACAAATGACAATCCATTATTTTGTATTGTTACATCATACGCTTCATTTTGATAAAATTTCAGATAAAAGCATACCAAGCTATGTTAAATTTCTCTCCAGGGGAAAGAGTAAGTAAGCAGAGGCAAAAAAAAAAAAAAAAAAAAAAAAAATTAAGATTTTATTTATTTACTTGACAAACAGAGATCACAAGTAGGCAGAGAGGCAGGCAGAAAGAGACAAGGAAAAGCAAGCTCCCCAGTGAGCAGAGACCCTGATGCAGGGTTCTATCCCAAGACCCTGAGATCATGACCTGAGACAAAGGAAGACACTTTAACCCACCGATCCACCCAGGCACCCCCAGGGGCAAAAATTTTTTGAAGTAAGATACTTACCTATTTCTGGCTTCCTCATATTGCCAATTAAGTCTGATTTGGTCTACAAGATTTATTTTGTCATCACTGGCAAACTTTCAGGAATAGAAGGAATAATGAAAACACAAGTTAAAAAGAAATCTCAAAATAATAAATTCAGCTAAAATTTTAGAAATAATTAAAAATATTCTTTTTATTTATCTTTCAGTTTCAATTTTTGAAAGCTATGGAAGAAAAAGCACTCAATTTTATCTGTTATAATCTCTGAGCAGAGGGGTATGGAATAAGAGTATTGTTTTACCTACACAGTTGGATTTTTTTCTCCAGTGGAATATATTCCTCTATTTTGGTATTCCATAAAACAACTGAGTTTGAAAAGAAAGGAAATAACTTACTAAAAGTTGATACCATAAAAACAGCATAACATAGAATCCTTATTTTGCGTACTATACTAAATTGTATAGTATCTCAATGAATACATAATAATGATATTCTACTATCAAGTAACAAATGTGAAAAAGACAACTAGTTTTAGGTGTATAGGATATAGGACTCCTTCCCTATCTCTTGCACAAAAAAGAACAAAAGGTTTAAAAGAAGGAGAAGAGGGGCGCCTGGGTGGCTCAGTTGGTTGAGCAGCTGCCTTCGGCTCAGGTCATGATCCCAGCGTCCTGGGATCGAGTCCCACATCGGGCTCCTTACTCATCAGGAAACCTGCTTTCTCCCTCTGCCTCTGCCTGCCATTCTGTCTGCTTGTGCTCGCTCTCTCTCCCTCTCTCTCTCTGACAAATAAATAAATAAAATCTTAAAAAAAATAAATAAATAAAGAAGGAGAAGAAATTACCCAAAACCCAGGTATTGGAAATTGAGATTAATTCATTCACTTCTTAAATTTCTTCTAAAAGCTACTTACAAAACAAATCTTTGTTTTTCATTCTTTGATAGTAATAAGGATGGTTTAGTTTAAAAAAAAAAAAGGGCAAGAAAAAGTCACTTTCCTTGTATATATATATTCCTTGTATATATACTCGATTATAAACTAAAACCTCCAAATTTGAAATGCTATGCTGGTTTTTTTTTTAAGATTTTATTTATTCATTTAAGAGAGAAAGAGATCATGTGTGCATCTGCAGGAAGGGAAGAGCAGAGGGAGAGTGAGAGAGAAAGAATTTCTCTGTGCTGAGCACAGAGTCTGATGTGGCTTGATCTTATGACCCTGAAATCGGGACTTGAACCGAAACCAAAAGTTGGATGCTCAATCAAGTCACCCAGGATTCCCTGGCATTTCTTATATATTTTTTGTTATAATTCCTGATCTTGAAAAATGTGTTTTATATACATACCACCTACTCACAAAACTGATCCAAAATAGTAACGTAGACAGACTTCTAAGATGGCCCCAAAGATCTCTACCTTTGGTTACTGAGACCATGTGTAATTCCATCCCCTTGAAAGTGTGTTGGACCTAGTGACTTGATTCAATCCCACAGAATGGAGTAAAGGTGACGGTAAATCCTTTCTGTAATTACATTACAATGGATTGTAACTTCAATGAAATTAGCTTTCTCAATTTACTTTTCAGCTTGGATATTTTGATGAAACAAATTGCCATGTTGCAGAGACCAAAGCAACCAGGAAAAGAGGCCTTCAGTCCCATAATCTCTGATGAACTAAATCTGCTAAAATTCATGTAAGCTTGAAAGCAGACTTTTCCCTCAGTTGAGTGTTCACCTGAGACAACCCCTACCTAACCTGGCATCATGACTGAACTTTTGGAACTCTAAAGCAGAAGATCCTTGCCAGACTCCCAGGCCAAACAAACTCTAAAATAACAAATGGTAGCTGTTTTCATATGCTATGTTTTATACTTAATTTGCTTTATATGAAGAGCTAAATATGTAAGCCATGGTTTATATTTCTGTACAGGAATGTGATGTTGTAGAATGTTCAGGACCTTAAAAAGGGCTGAAATGTTGATTTAAACCCACACCTCTCATAGCTGAAAGACGTTAAATAGTTTGGCATCTTAGTGTTCTCATTACACTATTTAATAGAAATACAAACAACTACTTAAAATGAGCTCATAGCTGGGAAGTTGCTAGTCCCAATATACAGCAAAGATTAGAACTAGAATGTAGATATCCCTAACTAGTTTGGAGAGAAATGGGTAACATCAAAACCTTTGTAATGATTCAGATAGAATGTTGTATAACTGCATAACTAGCTCTACTGCATATACTTTTAGGACATTCTACTGAATGTAGTAACTACTACAAAAGTAGTATTTTTATTTATTTATAAAATATAAATGTTTTAAATGGTGATGAATTGTGGTTAACTCAAGGATTCACAAATTATGAAAAGAGATTTTGGAAATTTTTTCAAGTCTGAAACAAAATTAATTTTAATTCAGGTCTATAGCCTGATATTCTTTTATAATAATAATAAATGCTATGCAAGTACACACCAAGCGTGCAACAGCTACAAAGTCATTAGAAATCACTGTTCTAAGTCAATGATCAACCAATTATGGCCAAGTTGCAAAATGGAATCTGCCACCTACTTTTAAAGTTTTATAGGAAAACAGCCACAACAGTTTGTTTATGTAGTATCTCTAACTGCTTTACACTTGAATACTTGACAGACACTGCATCTCTGCAAAATCTAAAATATTTACTAACGGCTACTTTACAGGAAAAGCTTACCAATCTGTCCACTGAAAAGTCATGTCCATTAAAAAGACATTTAAATTCAACTCTGAAAAGGATTCTGCTATTTTTTTTTAAAAATCCAGATCACAAGGATAAAAGTAGTTAGCAATTCGATTGCATCCATATCACTGAACCTTCACAAGTTACTATCAGAAACAATACTTTGGTTTTGAACTTAACTGCATAAGAAACAAAACCATTTTGAAATGAAAAATGAAACAAAATTACTTATGGCAAACACAAAATAAGCCCTTTTCCCTCTCAGCACATTATTTCTTATCCCCTACCAAGCATACCTCTCCAATGATGTCAGTCTGAGATGCAGCATCACAGAACTGTAGAGGCAAACAAGATTCTAAAGGTGGACCAGCATTATGAGGAAAATCTTGTAAAGAGTCAGTAATAAAGCAGAAATTCTTGAAACCATCAGTAAGTTTAGCCAGGCTCTGTAATATAGTGAAACAAACCATTTGAATGTAATGTTTCTCTTCAGCAGCCCTTTCATTTCTGTTCTAAGTCTCCAAATTAATTGCCGGAAAGGTAACCCACCTCACACCCCATTCTCATTATATTTAAAAGAAATGTTTTCCACTATCTGCACCTTTAATAAAATTCCTAGTAATTTATTCAGTGATTGAATAATGGTGGTAAATTCTAAGAAAAATGGTGAATTATTACGGTAGCATTTTTACCAGTTTTTAAAACCTTTATGTTTCTTAGAGAAAAAAGGTAAATGACAGTATGGAAAAACTGCTAAAACTAACCTTTTCCCTGGAGATGTTCACAATCTAAGAACTTGAAAGCAACACCAGATTATGCTTATGTACATTTAAAAATTGAGTACAAATTCACTTCATACATATTTAACAATTGTAAACTGAGCCATTCTATGGGTTACCACAATTGCTATATTATACAACCACCACACCTAACCAGTTATAAAACATTTCATCACCCCAAAATAAAATTTGTAGCTCTGAGTAGATGGTCCCATTCACCAATCCCAATCTTTGAGCAACATCCAGTCCCCATTTTTTTTTTGTCTGTCAATTTAATTATTCTTAATTCTTAATTATTCTTAAATATAAATATTTAAGTATTTCAGATAAATAGAGACACAAATTCAAACAACTTTACTTGGCTCCTTTCATTTAGCATAATGTTTTTGAGGCATATACATAGTAGAAGCAAAATCTCTGCTGAACAGGCTCGACTTTATTTTTTATGTGTGGATATCCAGTTTTCCCAACATCATTTGTTGAACAGGCTGTCTTTTCTCCATTGAGTGGTCTTCACTGAACATCAATTAACCATGTATGTGAGACTTTATATATGGCAATCAATTCAACTGCTCTATATATTTAGCCTTATGCAACTAGCCCACAGGTTGATAATAGTTTTAGTAAGTTTTGTTACTAGGAATTATTAAGTTCTTCCATCCTTCTTTTTCTTTTTCAAAATGTTTTTGTTATTTGAGGATCCTTGGAAATTCCACATGAATTTAAAGATGGCTTTTTTATTTCTGGAGGAAAAAAGCCACTTTGGGGTTTTGATAAAGATTGTAGATACTATGAATAATATAGTCCTCTTAATATTAGCTCTTCAAATTCATTAACTCTAGATAACCTTAATTATTAATGCCTTTTACTTACTTCAACAATATACTGTAGTTTTTAGTGTATAAATTTTTACCTCCACGGTTAAAGTTATTAGTAAACATTTTAAACTCTAATGCTATCATTTGGAACTTTTGTCTCAATATTCTTTGCAGACTGTTCACTCTTAGTACACAATATTCTGTTACTTTTTTTAATCATTTATAATAGTTTTTATCCTTTGTATATTTTTGTCAACATTTTCATTTTGTTCATATATAGTGTTGTAGGTTTTAGTTTTTCTTCAACTTTTTTTTATGTCCAGTTAGCCAACATATAGTACCTCATTAGTTTTTGATGCAGTATTCAATGATTCATCTGTTATATATAAAATCTAGTGCTCATCACAATATGTGCCCTCCTTAATACCCATCATCGAACTTTTTTTTTTTTTTTTTAAAGATTTTACTGGAAGGGGCAAAGATTGCAGAGAACTAGGGGACCCTATTTCAACTGGTCCCCTGAATCGAGCTGGGTATCTAGCAGACCATTCTGAACACCCATAAAGTCTGTCTAAGATGGAAGAAGATATATCTGGATCTCTACCAACAGAATATCTCCAGTGGCTGGTCTTGAGATATGAAGCAAGGAGCCATGAATCTGCAGGCAGATATCAGAATATAAATGGAAAGGACAGGGAGCCTCCGGGATCTTCCACCACTGGTATGCAAAAGCCTCCTGCACTGCAGACTGGGCACAGACTCACAGACTGATAGCAGCAGGGAAATGACTTTAAGGCAGTGCCCCGACACTGAAACCTGGACTTGCAGGCCCCATGTATAAACTAGGGATGGCAGGCAGGTCTAGAAGCACAAAGGACAGAGTCCTAATTGGACCTAGATGCGAGGGCTGGGAGTGCTGCAGTGAGGTGTACAACCCAGGCTGCTGCTGTTTTTAGCCACACAGACAAAAAACAGAGTCAGTGTGACCTGGAGAGCTTCCTGGAGAATAGGCTGTGATCTCTCTCTTCTGAGACAGAAGTTTAGACACAGTAACCTTTGTTTGGACTCTTGGGAGAGACGTGGAAAGCCACCAGGAAAAGCCACCAGAGAACAAAAGTTCCCAAAACTGGTTTTCATTGAATCCATCCTCCCGCCAAAAGGGGGCAGAGCAACTCTGTCCAAACAGGGTTGCTTGAGTAACAGCATGGCAGAACCCTCCCCACAGAATACAGGCTGAAAGAAAAAGTGGCCAACAACCCCAAGGTCCCTAAAAATCAGATGCATCTTCTTGGATTGTGGTCTATAGTTTAGACTCTGCACATTCCCTCAACCACCTCCCTTCAACAGAATGATTAAGAGAAGTTAACCCCAACACAGGAAAACCTCAGAGACTGTGACCTCTGCCACAGAACAAATGCATATGGATATAAGCAAGATGTCAGAAATAGACTTCAGGATCACAGTGATGCAGACAAGAACTAGGATGCATAGAACCGTTAATGGCAACATAGATTCTCTAAGGAAAAAGTGAGAGCTGATCTGGCAGAACTTAAAAATGCTCTTAATAAGATCCAATCTAATCTAGATATTCTAACAGCGAGGCTAAACGGGAGAGAAGATAGAATTAGTGATCAAGAAGACAAACTGATAGTGAAGAAGAAACAAGAGGAGGGTGAAACAGTTTAGAAGCCATGAAAACAGAATTAGAGAAATAAATGACACCATGAACATACCAATGTCAGAATTATTGGGATCCCTCACGGCGAGGAGAGAGAGAGGAGGGTATATTTCAGCACATCATAGCTCAGAAATTCCCTAAACTGGGGAACGAAATAAGCATTCCTATCCTACAGGCAGAAAGAACCCCTCCAAGATCAAGGAGAACAGAACAACACCCTGCTTTGTCATAGTAAACCTCACAAATCTTAGAAACAAGAAACCATCTTAAGGGCAGGTAGGGGTAAGAGATTCCTTACATACAAAGGGAAGAACATCAGAATAATGTCAGGTCTGTCCAAGGAGACGCGCAAGGCAGAAAGGGGTAGTAAGACATAGGGTACTAAATGAGAAGAACAATGCACCCAAGAATTCTTTATCAGGGAAGGCTGACATTCAGATGGAGAGATAAGGAGCTTTCAGGTCCAACAGAAACTGAAAGAATATGTGAACACCAAGCCAGTCCTGCAAGAAATATTAAGGGGGTTCTATAAAAGGAGAAAGGCCCCAAGAGTGATAAAGAACACGGATATATAGAGACAATCTATAGAAACAAGGACTTCTCAGGCAACATGATGACAATAAAATGTTATCTGTCAATAATAACTCTAACGTGAATGGCCTGGGTGCTCCCATCAAAGGGCACAGGGTTGCAGACTGGATAAAAAGACAGGACCTATCCATATGCTACCTAAAGAGACTCATTTTGAACCTATAGACACATTCAGGCTGAAAGTGAAGGGATGGAGAATATGATCCTACCTAACAGGATCCAACAGTACATTAAAAGAATTATCCACCATGACCAGGTGGGATTTAATCCTGGGATACAAGGGTGGTTCAACATTAACAAATCAATCAAAGGGACAGAACAAATCAATAAGAGAAGACAGAAGAACCACATGGTCCTCTCAATGCATAAAAAACATTTGACAAAATACAGCATCCTTTCCTGATTAAAACTCTTCAGAGTATAGGGATAAAGGGAACATTCCTCAACTTCATAAAATCCATCATAAAAAGCCCTCAGTGGCTATTGTTCTCAATGGGGAAAAGCGGACAGCCTTCCCTTAAGATCAGGAACACGACAAGGATGCCCACTCTCGCCACTGTTGTTCAATATAGCACTAGAAATCCTAGCAACAGCGATCAGACGACAAAAAGAAATAAAAGGTATTCAAATTGGCAAAGAAGAAATCAAGTTTTCTCTCTGCACAGATGACACGATTCTTGATGTGGAAAACCCAAAAGACTCCACCTCCAAGTTACTAGAACTCATACAGCAATTCAGTAATGTGGGAGGGTACAAAATAAATGTACAGAAATCAGTTGCTTTCTTATACACTAACAATGAAAACACAGAAAGGGAAATTAGAAAATCGATTCCATTCACTATAACACCAAGAACCATAAGATACCTGGGAATGAATCTAACCAATGAGGTAAAGGATCTGTACTCAAGGAACTACAGAACACTCACGAAAGAAATTGAAGAAGACACAAAAAGATGGAAGACCATTCCATGGTCATGGTTCGGAAGAATAAACATTGTTAAAATGTCTAGAGTACCTAGAGCAATCTATATTTTCAATGCCATTCTGATCAAAATTCCACCAGCACTTTTCAAAGAGCTTGAGCAAACAATCCTAAAATTTGTATGGAATCAGAAGAGACCCCGAAGTGCTAAGGAAATGTTGAAAAAGAAAAACAAAACTAGGGCCATTATGTTGCCTGATTTCAAGCTTTACTACAAAGTGGTGATCGCCAGGACAGCATGGTATTGGCATAAAAACAGACACATAAACCAGTGGAATAGAATAGAGAGCCCATATACGGACGCTCAACTCTATGGTCAAATAATCTTCAACAAAGGAGGAAAAAAATATACAGTGGAAAAAAGACAGTCTCCCAATAAACGGTGCTGGAAAATTGGACAGCTGTGTGTAGGAAAATGAAACTCGAACATTCTCTTACACCACACAAAAATGGATAAATGACCTCAACGTAAGGCAGGAATCCATCAGAATCCTAGAGAAGAACACAGGCAGTATTCTCTTCGACATAGGCCACAGCAACTTTTTTCAAGACACGTCTCCAAAGGCAAAGGAAACAGAATTAGAGAAATAAATGACACCATGACACCAAATAAACAACACCAAGCGAAATGAACTTTTGGGACTTCAACAAGTGAAAACAGTCTGCACAGCAAAGGAAACAGTCAACAAAACAAAGAGGCAACCCACGGAATGGGAGAAGATATTCGCAAATGACAGTACAGATAAAGGGCTGATGTCCAACATTTGTAAAGAACTCAAACACAACACTCAAAAAACAAATAATCACATCAAAAAAATGGGCAGGCATGGTCCTAAGAAGACATACAGATGGCTAACAGACACATGAAAAAATGTTCATCACTAGCCATCAGGGAGATTCAAATGAAAACCACATTGAGATACCACCTTACACCACTTAGAATGGCCAAAATTGACAAGGCAAGAAACAACAAATGTTGGAGAGGATGTGGAGAAAGGGGAACCCTCTTACACTGTTGTTAGGAATGCAAGTTGGTGCAGCCAGTTTGGAAACAGTATGGAGACTCCTTAAGAAATTAAAAATAGAGCTTCCCTATGACCCTGCAATTGCACTACAAAGATACAGATGTAGTGAAAAGAAGGGCCACCTGTACCCCAATGTTCATAGAAGCAATGCCCACAGTTGCTAATGGAAAGAGCTGAGATGTCCTTCAATGGTGGAATGGATAAAGAGATACGGTTCACATGTACACTGGAATATTTCTCAGCCATCATAAAGAATGAATACCCAACTTCTGCATCAACATGAATGGGACTGGAGGAGATTATTCTGAGTGAAATAAGTCAAGCAGAGAGAGTCAATTATCATATGGTTTCCCTTGCATGGAACGTAAGGAATAGCATGGAGGACATTAGGAAAAGGAAGGGAAAAATGAAATGGGGGGAATCAGCAGAGTGGTGGGGAGGAACCATGAGAGACTGTGGACTCTGAGAAATAAAATGAGGGTTTTGGAGGGGAGGAAGATGAGGGGATGGGTGAGCCTGGTGGTTGGGTATTAAGGAGTACTGGGTGTTATACACAAAAAATGAATTATGGAACACGACATCAAAAATTAATGACCTACTATATGGTGACTAACGTAACATAATTTTAAAAAAAGATTTTATTAATTTATCAGAGAGAGAGATCATGAGCAGAGGGTAGGGGAGAAAGGAGCCCCATGCAGGATTCAACCCTAGTACCCTTAGATCTTGACCTGAGGGGAAGGCGGATGCTTACCCAACTAAGCCACCCAGGAATCCTTTTCCTTAGACTTTTTGATTAGTTTTAAAATCTTTGTATAATATGTTTGGTACCTGAAATACTTATGGATAGTTTCTGCCAATTTACCTTGCCCTTAGTAATGTATCATGTTTTCATGTTGAAAATTGAACATCTGACTATCAAAATGTGGTAACTCTGGAAATCAAATTACCCTTCTTCTTCTGTGTACTTTTTTTTTGAAGTCCATTTCTTTGAGACTTCTACAAATTATTTTATGAAATGTTATTCCTTAAGATCACTTTAATCACTACAGTGTGTTCCTTTAGTTTATGCTCAGATACTTGATTGGTGAATTCCTTGATTGTAAGGAGATGAAGAAAACAAAAACAGACCACCTCTCTTGCTTTTACAGGTAAGCTCCGTTCTCAGGCACTTGTTCACTATTTATTTATACTTGCCCAGTGGCTAGAGATCAGCCCGCAGTAAAAGCTTAAAACTTCATTGCACACTTTTCTGAGTGTATGTTTTGCCTCTGGAAAGATTTTTTAATTTCTCATTATATATGGATGCTGCAAATTGCCCTAATGTCCCACTGTCTCACCATAACTTCTCATCAGGGCTTTAAATGATCTCTTATATGTTTCCACTGATAATCTCTTGTCCCAAGCACATCTGTATTTACAGTCTGCACTGTAATTTTTAGCACACTATCTGATACTTTTCCCACATGGGTTCTCCAAATTAAGCAAAAAGAACAACTCCCATCACATTTTTTAGGTAACCCCAAAGGGGATTATAAAGGAAATACATAATATTTTGTAAATAAGGTCACCTGCGATCCCTCCAATTCAGGTATGAGGGAAACTAGATTAGTGCTTAGTCAAAACCAGGACACACAGAGGAAGGAATGGGTGAGTCTAAGTAAAAACGCCATGAAGTTTCCTACTGTTTTAAAGATAACTTTTTCTTCATTGTGTATTTTTGCTTGTTTTCTATAAGCCTTTGTCTGTTTTTCAGAGTGCCTACAAAGTTAGTTAAGATAGTTTCTCATTGGTTTTTTGTTTGTTTGTTTGTTTCTCTGGGGAAACAAGTACTTGGAGGTTCTGAATTGCCACTTCACTGAAGTCACTCCTATTATGGTTCAGAACCTGATATTTTACATCCTAATGCTATATGGTCCAAAAGTAAACTCATTTGAATGCTAGTTTGTTACAAGTTAGAGAAAATGTATGTTCTGGTAAATGGAATATCTTAGTGTGAAACTAAACGGAAATCAGATTTCCAATCATTGATTTTATACTTCTGAATATATCATCCTTCAGCAAACTCTAGGACTACAATGCCAGGTGCACTGTAACTTCTGCGTCTTATTATAGAACAAGATCTGTTAGAAAGAGACAACTTTGTGAGTTATTACAAAAAAACTAAAATAACTGATTTAATTTCATTGAACCTTAAATTTACCAATTTAATGGAAGAGAAAGATGCTCTTGCCTCTCACTGGAGCTCCTCACAGTTCAAGAGGCTATGCACAGAGATGTTGAGGACTAAAACTTCTTCCAGAAAATATATATGCTTTCTCCACCAAGGCAACTTGGTAGCTTATCAAGGCTATACACTGTGACCACAAGAGAGTCCATCTCAACCACCTAAATCAATGTCTGCCTATCTCTTTTGTGGAAAACATGTAATACCCTGTGGAATTTTATCTAGGATTATGGGTAATGCACACAGAACACCTTGTTCAACCCCACAGCCTTCTTGTTATTATGGTTCAAACTAAATCTAAAAATTGTACATTTACTTATCATGACCTGGAGAAGTGATTTAAAAATACATTCTAGGGGCGCCTGGGTGGCTCAGTGGGTTAAAGCCTCTGCCTTCGGCTCAGGTCATGATCCCGGGGTCCTGGGATCGAGCCCTGCATCAGGCTCTCTGCTCGGCGGGGAGCCTGCTTCCCCCTCTCTCTCTGCCTGCCTCTCTGCCTACTTGTGATCTCTGAC